TCTAACCGACAGGTTTTTGGTTGTGCTGTCTAGTCACTATTTTACTCCCACAACGTGATAGGTCCCTGGAGAAGACTTGAAATTTATGTGGGTTTTGATTCACCATTCATTATTAGGTGTCTTGAACCTTTAACAAGTAATTTATTTACTGCACGTTTTGTAGAATCCCATTTTAATGAAATGATTTTCCCAACTTTGGGTAGGAAAAAATTACATCCTGGAAAATAAGGTAAAATTTCTTAGATGAAACGACTATTTTTCTTTGATCCCCGCAGCAATCAATGTGAGCAAGATGTTGAAAAAATTATTCATTTGCAAAGAGTTGCAAATCAATTATCTGATGTTTTTGTTGACACATGAAAAATGATAATGTTATATATTCCAGAAAAAATGATGTCAATAGAGGACAATTTGTTATAGCAAATGAATATCGAGCACGTCGAAGCATAATCGACCAATCGAAAAAGAAAAGTACAAGAGAAAGAACCAACTAAAATTTTTAGAAGAAATAACATAAGAAATGATTGATCAATCAAATCTCGAAAATATGGTTTCTGAAAAATCACAAGTGTCCAGAAATAATGAGATTTCAATAAATTATATGTTATCTCATAAATTATGGGAACGAAATAATGTTGTTATAGACAATATTTTCGTCTTTAACGTAACTCTTGATATTATACAAAATAAGAATCTTGAACCACTGTATGTTAAAAAATATAAAAATACATATGATTGGCCAAAATAGAAAGAAGTCCTACACGTGGAATTGAATTCCTTAGATAAACGAAAAGTGTTTGGACTTGTAGTTTGAATACCTGAAAATGTAATTCTTATAGGATACAAATGAGTTTTTGTACGAAAGAAAAATGAAAATAATAAAATTACAAAATAGAAAGCCTGACTCGTAGCTTAAAGTTTCTCACAAAGACTAAGAATTGATTATGAGAAAACATATTCCCCTATAATGGACACCATCACTTTTATATTTTTAATTAGTCTAACTGTATCATAAGGGCTCGACACGCGCCTTATAATTGTAGCAACTACCTATTTGCATGGTTCACTTAATAGTCACATATATATGAAAGTCTTCGAATGACTTAAACTACCAAGAATAAATGATGCTTGTGAAACGTGTTCTCAATTAAATTTTAAAGATCATTATATGGATTGAAACAATCTGGATGCATGTGGTATAATTGTCTTTCCGAATATTTGTTGAAAGAGGGTTATGAAAATGACGATGTTTGTCCATGTGTTTTCATAAAGAAAACAAATAATGGATTTACAATTGTGGCAGTTTATGTTGATAATTTAAATTTAATTGGAACTCTCGAAGAGCTCAAAAAAATGTTGATTATTTGAAAAATGAATTCCAGATAAAGGATTTTGGAAAAATCAAATTTTGTCTCGAGTTGCAGATTGAACATTTTCAAGAAAGATTATTTGTTTATCAATCTACATATATAGAAAAAGTTTTAAAACATTTTAATATGGATAATGCACATTCATTGCCATCACATATGGTGGTTCGATCACTTGATATGAAAAAAGATCAATTTCGTCCACTTGAAGATGGAAAAAAGGTTCCTCGTTCTAAAGTACCATATCTTAGTGCAATTAGAGCATTAACTTATCTTGCAAACTACATTCGACCTAACATAGTTTTTTTTTTTTTCTAAATCTACTTGCAAGATATAACTTTACACCAACTCAAAGACATTAGAATGATATTAAACACATTTTTCGTAACCTGAAAGATATTATTGACTTCAGATTATTTATTTTTAAAAGTCGGGATCTTTAGTGGGATATGCAGATGCGGTTATCTCTTTGACCCACATAAAGTTAAATCACATACAGGATATGCGTTTACACGTGAATGAACGACTATATCATGGAAATATGTGAAACAATCATTGACAGCAATATCCTCAAATCTTTTTGAAATTATTGCAATCCATGAAGTAGGTGGACGATGAGTATGGTTAAGAAACATAACCCACCATATTCAAGCATCATGCAGATTAACTTCATCAAAAGATAGTCTACCAATTTTGTATGAAGATGATGCAACTTGTATTGCACAATTCAGAAGATGCTATATCAAAGATGACATGACAAAGCACATTTCTTCAAAATTCTTTCATACGCACAAGCTTCAGCAAAATGACGACATCGATATTTAACAAATTCGCTCAAGTGACAGTGTGACTGATTTATTCACAAAAGCATTGCCAACATTTACATTTAAAAAATTGATTCACTAATGCGTCGACGAAAAGATCTTCAATGATTTTCATCAGGAGGAGTAAATATACACTTTTTCCTTAGTCTAGGTTTTGTTCCACTGGAATTTCCTAACAAGTTTTTAATGAGGCAACATTTTTTTATACTCCAAAATATTAACAATTAGTAGTATTCTTTTTTTTTCCCATGTTTGATTTTTTCCCACTGAATTTTTATCAAACAAGGTGTTTAACAAGATAGTTATTGTACAAATATTCATTAAGGGGGAAGTGTTGTAAAATAATGAGATAAATTATTTAATATTATCATGATACATAAATAAGTCTTATCTAGTCTAGAAAATCTATTTTATTTCAATTGTAACTCTTATTTTGAACCCTATAAATATGAGGTCTTGATTCTCAATAAAATACCTACAAATTTATTGACTTATATTTACTCTTATCTTTTTCTCTCTATTTATAACATATATATCATTTGCTCCTTAATTTTTGTTGTACACTAATGGATGACTTGTGATAATGAAGGGCGAACGTTTTTTATAATAATCCTCGTGACGAACAAAGGAAAAGTAACAACTTTCTAATATTCTTTTCTCTCGCATATTTTCATAAAATTTTCGAGCACTTTGATCAATGTAGCAAGATAGGATAAATAGGATATGCAACTCGATGCTGTTTATTTATTCTGATTCATACCCTTTTTTGGGAGTTGGGATCCAAAAAACCTATCATCCATCACTCATTTTTATTTATCGACTTCCAAACACGATTATAGTGTAAATGCACAAAATATAAATGAAATCTAGCATAGTAAATATTTACAATATTCAAAATTTTAGCTCCCAGTCGCCTAAATTGATAGAAGAAGACTAAGAAGAATAGGTGACGAATGTGATGATAAAATTTTACGACATCAGTGACGTATATTATTTATTGGTCAAAGTATTAAGTTTCAAAATTTATATGGAAATATTCTTGTGTGTGGCGGTGTAACCAGTCACGACACGACCAATTTTAATGATGACACTTGAAAAACATATTCAGAAATAGAGATTCAGATATTTCTCTTTCCTACCAACCCAATATTAATTGACAGATCAAACTTGCTTCCTCTGAACCATCGTAGAATAATTCCCACAGGCACCATACAATACTGGTGCTGCCTTGAATTTTTTATTTTTTATGTCGGTTCTAATGAAAATTAATCAAAAATTGATAAGTGTTCAATCTGTAAAAATTCTGTCAAACTTCCCCTGTACACATGTAGCATCATTGCTATCATATTCTCCCATGAGTTTCATGGGGGTGTTGTGTAATTAAGAATAAGCATTCTTTGATTTATTATTTGACATCCAATTAGCATGCAGTTGTTGGCCTAAACTGTTGGCAAAATTTGTTTTTTTTAAAGTATATTTTTTAATTAATATTTGACTTTATTATTTAATCAAATTCGAAATTTTGTTAGCGAGTAATTTCGAGAAATCTAAGAAAATCTCGAGTATTAACTCAGTGAGTTCACATTGAGTCTCATGATTCATACATTCGTTACAACAGATCCGACTCGAGAAATTTATCATATGTATTATGTATATCAAGTAGGAAAAATGGCCCTATATAGACTAGAGCACTACACATTTTTCATTAGCCTTCAATGCACTGAAATTTGGTTTGTAAAAAGCTGCTAGAAAAGCTCATTCACTGCAATTCTTGAAGAAATCGAAACTGTTCATAAATAGGATTATTGAAAAAAGTTGCATCTCGGCATGAACGAGTTCTTATTTTGGCTTGTGGAGCAATCCTACTTCAGTCGTGGGAGTGTTATAAGGGCTGACTTTAATAATTAACTAAACTTTGAACTTTCAATTGGTATCAGAGAGAGTTTACTTTTTTATTATTTTCCGAGCTAGATGCCTCTCTTTCTATATGGAACAAACAAAAATTCATATGAAAGTGTATATTCAGTCCTTAGATGCAAAAGCTATAGGAACCACGTATCACTAGAGAAAATGGAATTCGAAAAAATGTGAATTTTGGCAACTATAGAGTTGGACGAGTCTGTTTTGATTGTCAAACTCTTAAAATAAAACTTTCTATTTTGTTGACTCTAAAGAAATACATTTGCTCATGTTTGACCCACATTTTTCCGGAATTCATTTTCAACCACACATTATTTAATCACATCAATAACTTTTCCTTACTTTTTAACCACATATTTTCCATCATATCACTATTTAAAATACATTATTTTCTCAATAATATCTATCAAACCCACCCTTGATCTCTATTTTCGAGGTTGAGAAGGAGTCATGTTTGACCCACATTTTTCCGGAATTCATTTTCAACCACACATTATTTAATCACATCAATAACTTTTCCTTACTTTTTAACCACATATTTCTCATCATATCACTATTTAAAATACATTATTTTCTCAATAATATCTATCAAACCCACCCTTGATCTCTATTTTCGAGGTTGAGAAGGAGGTCTAGGATATACTTCCAACTACTTACAAAAGAATCTCAACCATCAAATCTTTAAAACTTCATATGCTTGCAATCGAATTTGAGAACTACAATTAATTAACAAGAAGCAATGCAAGATGAGAATGATTTCACATGCATGAAGTAGTTAAATATATATAATCCATCAGAACCATCCGAAAATCATAAACAGTAATTAAGTACTACAACATGTACAAAACTTGAAGGAGAGAAATCATAATAAGTATTAATTGTTACACAATTAAAAGGGATCTTGGCGCTGGAACTGTTGATGCTGGTTGTTGTAAAAATATTGCTGATCTTGCGCCTTATAACTCCGGCCAGAAACGAACTCCAATGGATTATTTCTTGTGGAAATTAGACCATTGAGCTGCTGATGATCAGTAGCTGATGATGAGGAGGATCCAAAACACAAAGTGATCGGCCCTCTCTGAGTGTGGCTGCAACCGGTGTGTTTTTGCACTAGGGATCTAAAATTTGTTATGTGGGCATTCAGATAAGTCGTCGGAGTTAGCCTCGAAGCTCTGGACCGCCTCCGTTTTGGAGTCCCCGGACTGGTTTTCGTCTTCAAATCACTCCCAGCTGTTGAACTTGAATTTTCTGGGCTGTTACTTGTAACCACTACACTGTAATCAGGGTTGAATAGGTTTTCGTTTATATCGAAATTAGTAGTTGACACCATCGTTGCATCGGAAAATTCGGGACAAGGCATGAAAAAGTCATCAATTAATATTGGTTCTTGGTAGTATTGTTCCCACGGAGAAGAGCTTGGGACATGGTCACTCATGGTGGCTTTCGGTGGGTGTTTTCTATAGCACTCCCTCTTAGCCCTTTTTAGCCTCTGATCATAGGAAGAATACAACACCCTTTGCTAAAAACACACTCATATATATAGCGACAATCAATCAGAATAACAGGTTCCGATTTTCAAACCAGTCATGTCGCGTGCTTGCTGACCAGACCATTCATGTCATTGATATATATTTATACATAAGAGAGAGAGAGAGAGAGAGAGAGAGAGGGAGAGAGAGAGAGCTTTTAATGACCTTAATGGAAGAGCATGACCGGTTAGTAGTGACTATGAGCAGTAGTAATATAAATGATGCTTCATGCCCTGTTTGGTGTAGTTAAAAAAAAATGATTTTGAGCACATTTTGATAAAAATTGATGAAATGTGTGGTTAAAAAGTTGATAAAAGTTGCGAGTTTCTTATAATGTGTAATTAAAAATAATTATTGACTTTAACTTAAATTTTTATCAACTTTTTAAATCACATCAAACATAAGCTTAGTTTTCATTTTCCACATTCATGCTTCGTCCTTTTTTTTTTTTCCAAGTAAGATTGTTGGATATAGGAATCAATCAATACGTGCATTTAAACGTTCCAACTAAGTCGGCACTTCTTTAACATCCTGATCATCGATCAATTCCAATATTTTGTTACTAATTTTATAAAATTGATTCCGTCAAAGTCGATGTAGAATAAAATATACATCACGAAAGTTCCACGTAGATGTAAAATCTGCATCCCACCAAGTATGTGGAGACGATTCTTGGAGCTTATGATGTGAATATGAGTAATTACAATGTCCATTTGGGATAGGAATTCTGATGGAGACATCTATATCCCAAGTTTGAATACCATCTCAAAAGGACCTTTCATGATTGAAACTATATATAAAACAACCACCAAATACCTTTCATGAGCCAACGCATAATTAATGGCATGAATCGAATCCACAAAATAGTCTCCGAATGGATAGCAGAGACCCAAAGGAATAGAGCATGCATGCATACTTCCTCCATCAAGTAGACAATATAATAATTTATAGACTCTAAGGAACTTCCACATCTCAAAATTAATATTTCTCGCACCGAATATTTAACATTTCTAAAGAAGAAATACTTAACATTTTGGAAATATTACAAAAAACAAAAAAATCTATATTCCTTTTAGACTTTCTAGTGTGACTTTACAAGCTATTTATCAGTCAGTTTTGATTTTCTGTGCACACAGAAAATTGTCACACAACAAAGGTGGGACCTGCATTTTTCGCAATATTTAATTTCACGTGGGGCCCACCTCCATGTGAGATTTCTGATGAACTTCTGTAGGAGATTTTCCTGTACAAATGGAAAAATTCTTTGTTAGTTCGTATACTGCACATGCAAAACGATTTTCTAATGTAAAAAAAAAAAATGTTCTATAAAATTTATTATTAATATAATATAATATTTTCTTCTCTTAATATTGTTAAATATAAAATGGTCAACTATTGAATTTTTAATCATCAATAATACATGAGATTTTTTTAAGGGGAGAAAGGGATTAATAATAATAAGCCATCCAAATTAGTAGTCTTAGCTTCAATAAGATTTGTCCCTTTATATCAAGTTGAAATGACACAATTAAGATTAACATGGCCCACCCTGCTCAAGAATGACATGAACAAATTGAGAAATATTTATATAAATATTATCACATGTTTGCCTTGTGTACGAAGAATTTGACTTTCTCGAAAGATATAAATTACGAATATATAGAGATTTTTAAAGAGTAAAATCAATCGAAACAGAGGAAAATTACCGTAGATGATATTAAAGTGAAAAAAAAAGCCATTTTTTCCTCTCATTCATATACGTAAATAGAACTTTAGGAGCTAACCTCTCTTAGCAAGCTTAATGCTACGGTCCAAACAATATCGTCGACCACAGTTGCAAAATGAATAGAAAATGACACAATTGAATTTGTATATAGGAAAATGACCTTAAATTCAACAGAGTATCAACACGTGCAATTAATTGTTTTACTAATTGGAGGAATCATGAGCCATTAATTCCATAGTCAATGAATGACTATTTCATTAGTGCAAGAGACGGTCCGTTCCATTAGTAAATATATTGGACTTGTTTTTTCTTTGTAAACAAGTCATGAATCTTGGGGTTTTGACCAATGAATTTTGTGATATCTTTATATGCAATGAACACAAAATTTTCAAAGATTGAAAGTGTTACTTTATTGACGAGAAAATAATAAAAATAATTCTTTATTTGCTACCACATCAATTATTGCGTTTTCATTTTTGGCCCGTAGTCTAAACGTCGTTGATAGACTTTTAATGTCCTAATTTAATGCCTTGTTTTCATTTAATGTTCTTTAATTTTTACATTGTACTCCTTGTCTCTCAATATGTTAAGTTTGTTTGTACACCTTCAGCTGTAAACTTTGTCAAGGAAGACATGTCCGAGTTTGGTGGTGAGACTAATCACGACGTTCACTTCACGCCTTGCGTGGTTGGTGCTTGCAGGTTGTGCCATCGCCAGATGGTGCCTGGCCTGGCATGTTTGAAGGCCTTCACCGGGCAGTGCTTGGCCAGATTATGGCCTATTATTTTGCAGGCTGAAGGCACAGCCTGCTATTTTGCTTGACGGGCACTGCTCGATGATCGACATGCTTAATTACTTCAATGTTGTATACATCGTTGGACAAATTTGACAAGGAAAATAGAACAGAGAACTCGAGGAACTATCGCTATTCCTTCAAATGTCGGGAGTTTACCATTAATAGTTGGACATCTTAGTTCAGTCATATCAAATATAGACTCCTTAAAGTTCTGTCACATGGGCATCAATTTATTTGGATCATCGATTTCAATTTATTTAACATTATTGGTGATATGATAATATTTTGAAAAATTCTATTCGTACAACCTTAGATGTGTGCGGGGTCCGTATGTTTAAAAAATTCANTACCAGCTATAAACATGACATAGAGCCCCACAACTACCAACGGTCATATTGCCCTTCAATTGTCCTTAATGCAACGTTTAGTTCCAAAATATTCCCTATATATATCTCCGGGATCTCTGCTGTGCATGTTCATTGGTAAGCAATAATCGGTGAATCTTTAGCATTTATTTATGAGTAATGCTACTTGTAGTCGCTCACTGCAGCAGTCGCCCTATGTGACACACATATGACATGTAGATATTTGATATATTAATGTGATATTTTTGACCACATTTAATGTATCAAATACACACTTGACATGTGTGTGTCACATAGGGCGACTGCTGCAGTGAGCGACTGCAAGTAACATTATTCTTATTCTTTTAATGTTATTTAGCATCAATTTAGATAGTAATGACGATGAAGTTTAACACTATGACAACGATCCACCACTACCTAAATCGCTATTAAGAGGGTGTTTGGTGGGGATTAAAATTAGATTTTTAGTAGATTGTGATAGAAGTTTTTGAAATGTGTGGTTGAAAAGTTGTGGGACCCAGGAAAAATGTGATAAACATTGATCGTTTGACTTTGACTTGGATTAAAATCAGATTTTAATCTGGACCAAACATAGACTAAATATCATAATTCTAAACTATGTCTTAAACCGAGCAAACAATTGGCCTCAGGATGCGTTATTATAGACGTGCTAACTGCTAAAGAGAGTTGCGCATCCTGACAACCAGACCCTACGTCCGGTATAGATATGGCTAAATGTCTTCAAGCTAACGCATCGACAAATTACCTTTTGAACCCATGGATATGCATACACACAGGCAGTGTAGATAATTATCCACTCGAAAGAGGACTTTTCCTAATGAGATATTTTACAACAAATCCATCTGCACATATTACAACAGGCGGGTTGACCAATTACACCAGCTACCAGATAAGAGGAAAAGACCGTTAAAACGGAGAAAAAAAAAAAAAAAGCAAAGGATACACAAAATTGGGACCCACATCCACCATCGTTAATTTTCAATTGCCTGGCTAAGCAGTACCTAGCATCCATACCATCCTCCTTTTTCTTTCTATTTCATTCTTATATTTGCTACTCTTGTACAATTATTTCAAGTATAGCGGTAAGCCTCGGTTTTCTGTATCTCCTAAGACAAAGGAGCATACAACAGTTACAGATGGCAAGGCCATGCATGCACCAGTTACCCACGGTGGCAACTTGATCTTGGGTGAAGGATTTAAAACCCCAGCAGCCAAAGGGTTGGCAACCACATTGTAACCCATCACCTATGGCAAAGACATAATTCCATCGTATGCGGGTGAAGGTCTTTCTTGAAAGATCAATAGCAGTGATCACATCTTCTAAGTTATTCCTCATCAAAACATAGTCAGCAGCCTCTACTGCGATATCAGTCCCTGCCCCAATTGCCATACCCACATCGGCAGCAGCCAAGGCAGGAGTCATTGATTCCATCACCCACCATTGCAACTACACTTCCACCTTTCTGGAATTAATGAATAACATCAGCTTTTTCCGGGGGCATCTCTTCTGCCATAACATCTGTAATGCCAACCTGCATACCAACATCAGATCTGATTTCTACCTCATCAAACCTTTGCTTTACATTTGTAAATTCATAACATTTTAGACTTCAATGCAAAACTAGGGTGTAATGAACCTTAATATGAATCACAACAGTCATGGATACAGAATCATGCACTGAGGCACCATGTTTCATTTTTTTCATGCCAATGTATCCCTGTTACTCTACGGCATTTAGTATACGTATACTAACATTTTGTTATACAATGCCATCATTTTCTGTTTCTAGTGTTTAAGCAACCATTTATCATGCAGTGAATTGAGCCTTATGTTTAGCTTAGTAGTTGTTTTGCGAAATTATTTCGAATAAAAACCACAGTAAGTGTACGCTTTGTAACAAGTTATAAAGTGGAATTTAGAGTTACGAATATCGTCCCACACGGATTGATTTAATTCAATCTTACCATTTCGACCTTAATCGAAACAAGAAAATAGCACGTTTATGTTGTAATGGAAATTACGACCAAATTAATTTTCAAATGTGATTTTGAGTAAACTAATTGAACTAGAATGCAAAACAATGCTTGAAAGCGAGTTGTTAAATTTAATGAATGAAAAGTACACAAGGATCACGAATCCCCATGCAATGATCTCTTTTAATCCAAATTCTACAAATTGACAGCACGGTTGAAGTTTTGAAGAATTAATGTTCATATTCTATTCAACAATCATTCTCGAGTAATGTTGAACCTACTCTTATATACGACTCGACTATATCCTTATGACAAATTCAAATATACAAGAATGCATGAATTTTCGTAAACACTTAGAGATTTACGTAAGACATAGCGGGATATATTTCTAGTTACATTTGTTGTTTCGATCACAACTGCATCATGCTATACGTGATTTTCTTTGATACCCTATTAGTATTTGCTCTAGGATGTGTCATTATTGTGTCGATTGTGTTAAGACTTTTGCTTAAAGCCCTAGTGAAAAGTCGACTTTTTTTCATTGCTCTGTTGTTTGTTTTCCATGGCTGGTTGGTACATATAAATTTGGATGAAAAAATCATATACCATTTATGTTTTGACGTGAGAACACTTTTGGTATTAGTTGCCATATGATTATGAACAAAAGATGACGATCACTTCATTTCAAAAATAATTGTTCTTTAGCTTTTATTTGTTGTCGTTGAATCTTTGAACTACAAAGAAGCTAAACATTATAAAGAGAAATAATGTTGGATATTGGCAACCACGTTCTTGAGTTTTATTGTTACGATTTTGAAATATTGCACTTATATATTATATTATTGTTTTCACATCTATACATAATTTTCCGTTAGATCTCGGCAGTCACTAACTACTTATGCACGTAATTTTATTCATAAATGTATTTGTTAAATTAAACAATGATAATTCTTAACGTAGAAATCATTTATTTCAAGATGTTACCATTGAAGCAAATTAGGAAGCCAATCATTGAACAGGGGAATGGTGGAATCTAACGGGAGAAACTGTTGGTAAAAATCGTCCATGAAATCAGTATTACCACTAGAACAAACCTAACAAAATATAAAATAATTAGAATGTGATATAGAAATTATGTATATATTGGCAAAATTTCAATATCGTAACAATAAAATTCAAGAACGTGGTGACCATTATCCATGATAAGAAAATAAAAGATAGGACCTATTGTAAATGGCAGGGAAGAAGAATAATATTTCATTCATTCAACTTAGAGAAATTACAATGCAAACTAGTTTATTTATAGAGAAAAATAGCTAACTAATCTATCAACTAACTCATTACATGAAAGTCTCTAGAATTGAAGAGCTGAACTAAATTCTAACAAACTAATAACTAATAACAAACTAACTGAAGAAGGATCTGGAATGAGCTGCTGAAATTGGATGCAACTCGTGTGTACTGATGAGTTTGAGAATATTCCAACACTCCCCCCTCAAGATGGAAAATCTTGAATATTGAAGTGTGGGATATGAAACCTCCATCTAACATGTCTGGATATTCTCCAAAATATTATCCATTTGATATTCAGAAGACACTTGTTTTGCTTTCCAAATCAACTTGTGAAATTGACATAGATGTGCCAGAGGTGCTTCCTTGCATCTTACGGGGTAGTTCACCAGTAATTACTAAACATTTTCAGTATTTTTTTGGTTTTACGAATTCCCAAGATATCCGTCATAGAAGAATAAGATGCCGGAATAATGACGTGAAAAAAGACTGTGAGATGGAGAGCCATTGGCATCTGAAGCCAATTCTAGAACAAGGCTGGATTTGAGACAGAAGCTTCATTCGAGCCATGAATTAACATCCATATAAGGAGAACAGAGATACAGAAAATGAAATTTGAATAAATTCTATGAAACACTCCATATAAGGAGGACAAAGACAATGGAAGTCTGAATAACTTCCATGAAAACATTCAACAATGGTAGAATTGTTCATTGATGGAGATGATTGAGGACATCCTCTGCTCTTGCTGCAAATGCAGGAATCAAAATGGGAGGTTCAGAAATTAAAGAAGAAAATGAGCAGCTGGAACGGAAGCCATTGCTCAGAACAAACCCTCAAACCTTTGGCTACCGAGAATTGTGCAGCATATCTTCATTCTGTGTAGAGAACGAGGCAGATAGTTGATTGATATGTTTAGACTCCATATGGAGATTAGATCAAGCAACAGATTAGATTAAATCTGTGATGAAGAAAGAAGAAAGAAGGTGCAGACGGCATAAGCACTTTTATTGCTCTGATTCCATGATAAGAAAATAAAGAGATAGGACCTGCTGTAAATGGTATGGAATAAGAAGAATATTTCATTCATTCAACTTAGAGAAATTACAATGCAATCTAATTTATTTATAGAGAAAAATAACTAACTAATCTATCAACTAATCACTACATGAAAGTCTCTAGAATTGAAGAGCTGGACTAAATTCTAACAAACTAACAACTAATAACAAACTAACTGAAGAAGGATCTGGAATGAGCTGCTGAAATTGGATGCAGCCCGTGTGAACTGATGAGTTGGAGAATATTCCAACAATCCAACCCACTTTCTTTTCATAATATTTAGCTTCTTTGTACTTCAAAGTTTCAATGGCAACACCTAGAAGCTAAAGAACAATTGTTTTGGAAATGAGGTCATCGTCCTCTTTTGACCATAATCGTATGGCAATCAACACCAAAAGTGTTCCTACATCAACACATAAATCGTACAAGATTTTCTCATCCGAAATTATATGGACCAACCATCCATGAAAAATAAAATACAGAATAATGAAGACAAGTCGGCTTTGCTCTAGGGCCTTAAACTTTATCACCATGTTTATGCATGTGTAAATTATATTAAGTCTTGGCACATTTTCACCTTTTTATTGACTTTAAGACGCTGTTTAGTTTGATCATGCTCGCAAGATGGAACTTGGGATACTTTCAAAGGGATTTGAGCTTCAAATCTTGTGTATTTTGAACTTATTCTTTGTTTCCCTTTTTCTCTGTGTACAATTTTGTATTTCTTGTTCGTGGATTCAATGGTTGTAGTATTGTGTCGTTCAACTTTTCTGGAACTTGCCAAACAAATAGAAAAATCTCACAAAAATAGGACACTAGTGACTTGATGTATGTTTATTTCATAGTCCATTTGCCATTTAATAAAAAGTCGGTTCTTTTGTAATTACTTCCTATTTTTTAAATGTTTGATAATAATGTTTAGCATAGATAATTCTTAAACTTTGAAGAAGCGTGTACACAAAAAAATGCTAAATTATGCATCGAAGGTTTAAAAAGGCACAAAAAATGAAAAAAGAGAGGTATAAATCCATTTTTTAGGTACACTAATATTACCTTCGAAATAACAAAGCCCATGCATTGCACAGCCAATGGACTGGCTTCATATAAGATTTTTTAGTTGGTAGACTCGTCTCAAGTAATCGTCAAATAATTGTGCATTTGGTTTGAAAGCATGGATTTGTTTTCCATATGCATACACTATTTTGCCTTTTAATTCCTGCATGGATATAATTTTTAGTATATATTTTTAATATGATTTAAAAATGTAATGTTAATTCTGACAAATATATTAAATATGAAAACTATTGAAAAAGACAATACGAAAATAAATTTTATATTTAACCAAAGAGAAAGGGATAAAATGGAAACTTATGCAAATATGAGAGTTTTATGATATTTATAAAAGGTTAAACAGTATTGAGCAAATTGTCGAAAATCCCCCTACATTTTGGAAATAGCACAAAACATTCCTATTTGAAATGTTTAATGTGAAATATTCACCCTCACATTTAAATAAAACAAAAACAAAAAAATAAAAAAAATAAAGAACTAATTACAACCGTGATCCCAAAACTTTCAAAAAATTAAAAATAAATCCCAAATAAATAATTAAAATATCGAAATTCATGTACAATGGTGTTTGCAATTGACTTTTTAGATAATAAAATTTGAATATAATTTCTTCTTTGCTTCATGAGCGTGATTTAATTCACAATATTCTTGGAATTCAAGATAATGGTCACCACCTTCATACTTGTCTGGGTTTCCTGGCAGTAACAAGTGTATAATATTATTACCTTTACTTCAGTTAGAGATATTGCCCGGAAGAGAGTTCATGGATGGCACCCATATCTTTTCGTTGCAGGTTTTGATTGAGGCAGTCCTAAGTTTATTTGATGAGTTCGTAACAATCTTCCAGTTTCTCTCTCTCATAGGTGGGAAAGTCATGCGATTCCGTGAAAAAAAGGGGAATATGTTTGTTATCCTGTGGCTGTCCACAGAATGTGATGCAGTTCAAGTGGAACACAGGACACATGGCATGATGAGAAGAGCATATGTGGCAAGGGAGACTTTGTCTTTTTTCCTTTTTAGTAATTTATT